TCTCTCTTTAAAAAAAAAAAAAAACAGTTCTTAAAATATTTTCCTTTGTGAATGGGAAGTTAATTTCAAGAGAGACTGGAATCTGTTTTCTGTGGAATAAAGATAAAGTTTTCCTAATGTATATTTATTTCTTATTATTGTATCTTTGTAAATCTAAATACTTTAATGTGAATTTCACAACTTTTTTTTTTTTTTTTCAGTACTGGGATTGAACCCAGGGGTGCTCTACCACTGAGTCACATCCCCAGCCCATTTTGTTTGTTTCCTTTTGAGACAGGGTCTTGCTAAGTTGCTGAGGCTGGCCTCARACTTGTGATACTCCTACCTCAGCCTCCCAAATAGCTGAGATTACAGGCATGCACCACTACGCCCAACAAATTTTACAACTTTTTGCAGGATGTTTTGCCAAGGCCTCCTAGATGGACATCAGAAGCCATGTAGTATAAATGTTTTGTGCCCTTCCTCCCCAGTGTTCCTGTAAAACTTGTATCCTAGTTCACTGTGATATGCTGTACTTGACTTTCAGGAAAACATTGTACTGTAGTATTGATATGCTTAAATTAATTGCATTGTTGTCACTTTTTTCTTGTGTCTCTTTACTTTCTCAGGTCTACTATTTAAAAGATGCACATTGCTGCTACCCACCAAGGAAAGATTAAAGTACATTCACAAGATACTCTCAGAAGTAAGATCATACTTCTGAATTAGTTCATAGTCTTAATTTCTAGTAAAAATATTTTATTACTAATGTTTTATACTCCTTTTAAATCTATAGTTAATAACAACTCATGAATTAGTACTAAAAACTTGATCAGTGATAATCTAATAGTCTACCAGAGTATAAATAAAGTATAATATAGTCATCCCCTTATCCATAATTTCAGTTAATGTGGTGCACACATAATCCCAGATCTGCAGTCTGAGAGTATTAGATAGCAAATTCCAGAAGTAAACAATTCATAACTTTTACATCATGAACCATTCTGAGGAGAATGATGAAAACTCTTGTCAGTATGATCTATCCCACCTGGGTTGTAAATCATGCCTTTGTCCAGTGTAGCCATGCTATATATATTATCACCCATTAATCACTTAAGAGTTGTCTGGATTATCATATGTACTGTTATGGTATCATAATTCTTGTAGTCAAATAATTTTTTCACTTAGTAATGGCCCCCAAAGTGTAGGAGTAATGATGTTGGCAATTTTATTATGGTACATTATTATAATTGTTGTATTTGTTATTTTTGCTGGGTTTTTTTACTATGCCTAATTTATAAATTAAACATTATCATGGGTATTTATATATAGAATAAAACAGTGTAGTATGAAGCATTTTTACCTCACATAGGATTTCTGAGGAAGTTTTAAAGTGATAGTTTTTTTAATAAATTAATTTCTGATGTTGCATCTTATTTTTAAAATATGCAAAAAAYAGGGAAGTATTTTAATATATATTATGACAAACCTCTTATGTTAATAAACTTGGAAATGTACATCAATGCATTTGGGCATAATCTCTATACAGGACTTTTGAATTTTACRATACAATCCAAACATACATTCTGATGGTTCAGTTATGTGCTCAATAAGATGCAAACTATTCTCATGCTCTGACTGTTTTCCATGAAGTATTTACACTGAGTTCTGGTCTGTATTATTGCAGCAGAATCCCAAATGATCTTTCTGCCATATATTTCATCACTCCCCAAACTGTTCTGTGTACCAATTCAAGGTTGTGATTGTTTGTTCTTTTTTTTTCCCCTAAAGCATCATATTCATCAAGATAATTTTTTTGTTTGAAAATCTTTCAGTGAGTCAGGCATGGTGGTACATGCCTGTAATCTCAGTAACTTGGAGGATGAGATAGGAGATTGCAAGTTCTAGGCCAGCCTCAGTAATTTAGTGAGACCCTGTCTCAGAACAAAAAATAAAAAGGACTGGGAATATAACTGTAGTACGGTGTTCTTGGGTTCATCCCCAGTACCTCCACCAAAAAAAAAAAAAAAAAAAATCTTTCAGTAGCTATTCAATTTAGGCTTCTCCCACCCATACAACCTTTCTTTCTCTAATTGAATCTAATTAAATTGGTCAGATCTTTCTTACCAAATAAACATTGTTTCTTCTATCTCCATACAATTTTGTCTTTTACCATTACTTTCCATTTATTTATATCTGAGCCCTGCTTTAAGACATTGCTTATTTTACATGTGTCTTTCATAAGCTTTTTTGATCATTACTAAATCTATCTTTTCCTTCTTTTTATATTGTCCAATGTAGTATTTATTCAGTCATTTAAACATTTATACATAGTCTAACCTGAATTATAGTAATTTCACACGTGTATACCTTATTCTTCTAAATAAATTGTGAGCTCCTTGAGGGAAGAGACTGTTTCATACTTCCTTTGAAACTAACACAGTGCTCATCAGAATATGTACTGAAAAAAAACTTGCTTATTGCTGTTATATTTGAATGTTAAATCATTGTACAGATCCAATGAAAAAAAGAATTAATAATTGTTCTCTTTACAGGTTTCCTGTTTAAAATTCAATGGCTGTGCAGCTCCTATGCAATGTTTAGGATTACCATGTTATGGCATGTTTTTACAGGTACATTTTTTAATGAAAGAAGAAATGGAATGCTTTCTTGAACTGTTAACAAGTAGAGCATGGAATCTGTCCTTTCATCGGTTAATAGAATTTACAATAATCTTAAAGAGAGCAAAATAAAACTGAAAAGATTTGAGAATGTATTAATCTTTTTAATATTTATTTATTAGAAGTAGTTGGACACAATATCTTAATTTTGTTTATTTATTTTTATGTGGTGCTGAGGATCGAACCCAGGACCTTGCACRTGCTAGACAAGTGCTCTACCRCTGAGCCACAATCYCAGCCCAAGAATGTATTAATCTTATAGTGTGTTTCCATCTCAGATTTTCTTCTTAAGTTTCTAAGTAATGACAAATGTTTAACATTCATTTGCTCTATAACAATGTCCTCTAGGTGTCTAGCCAATTGTTAAAAAAAAAAGAAAAAAATATCATAGGGTAGTATGTATGTGCATGTGTTTATGTTTATAGTAAGTTTAAACTCTTGGACTAGTTATTTAAGTTGTGATTTTAGAAATCAGCTGTAGAGCTGGGTGTGGTGGTGCACATATGTAATCCCAGCAGCTTGGGAGGCTGAAGCAGGAGGATCACAAGTTCAAAACCAGCCTCAGCAATTTAGCAAGGCACTAAGCAACTTAGCAAGACCCTGTCTCAGATGAAAATTTTTAAAAGGCTGGCGATGTGGCTCCGTGGTTAAGTGTGTCTGAGTTCAATCCCTGGTCCCCCTCCCAAAAAAATTATAAAATTTCAAGAACATTTTTTACTAATCTTTTATTATAAGCAAAGATAAAAATAATAAGTAGTATTAATTAAGCCCTTACAATGTTCCAGACAGTTATAAACAGTTTACATGTATTATTTGATTTAAAACTAACAACCTTAAGAAGTAAGCACTGCACCCAAGAGAATCTGGTGCTGTATCCTGTCCTGCCAGCCACCAACTCATACACAYCCAGATTCCAGGGCCTCCTACTAGCCTTCTTCCAAGTTAGAGTGTTCCTTTTTATTCAGAAATTTTGGTCTTTCGGTTTTCTTGGAATAGGTAGCATAAATTCAAAAGGTATATACAGTAAAAAGTTTGTCCCCCATAAGGTCTGTCCCAAGTTTATTGATTTCCCTTCATCAAAAGTAATCACTGTTACCAGTTTCTTTCCTTCCAGAGATGATGATGATGATGATGATGATGATGATTAATGCTAGGGACCGAAGATTAATTTTTAAACTACTGAAATCCAATTATTTTAAGATGAATTTATGTGATTAGTTAACCTTTTGAAATCTAATTATAGCTGTATACAGCTTGAATCTCCTTTTCATATATGTCTATGCCTTTTAGTATACTCAGGGATACAAATAAAAGTTGTTTTGTTATTAAAATCCAAAAATCATAAAAAATGCTCAAAATTGTCATATTTAAATCACTATCATTTGTAAGCATTGTCATAAATGACCGCTAGGGGAAGCCAAAGGGTTCTACCGTAATCTTAAGACCAAGACACAGTATAACTGAGTCAAGTGTCTAAAGCTGATTTTCCATTTAAGAGTTCTCTGAAAAGATACTTCCTTTCCAACCGAAAAGAAACTGGATTTTACAGCAATTTTGGTTTAGATTATATAAATTTCTCCACAGTGAATAAAAATTATAGAGCATCTTAATCATGTGTTAAAATCACTTATGCTCATAAAGGGGCAGTGACTTGTGTTTTGATTTGGTGGTCTGAACACATGCAATGTTTCCTTTATTTTATTTTCTTCAGACCTTAACAGCAGGTTGGGATGAACTTGAGTGCCATCGTGTCTATAACTTCTTATGTGAGTTGACTAATCTCTCCCGCAAGATGCAGACTGTTGTCTGTAGCAAACCAGGTAAAGAACTACAATTTACAGATGATGTTATACAGAAATTAAGGTGGAAAAAAAAGAAGAGTTCAAAAGTGTTTAAAAATAAATTATGGAGCCAGGTACAGTGGTGCACATCTGTAATTCCAATGACACTGAAGACTAAGGCAGGAGAACTGCAAGTTTAAGGCCCGCCTCARCAATTTAATGAGGCCCTAAGAAACTTAGTAAGACCCTATCTCAAAATAAAACAATAAAAATGGCTGGAGGTACAGCTCAGTGGTAAAGTATCCCTGGGTTCAATGCCTAGTACCATTATATATTAATTAATTAATTAATTAACTTTTGGATCCAGGCATGGGGTACACACCTACAATCCCAATTTGGGGGGCTGAGGCAGGAGGATTGYAAATTCAAGATTATCCTAGGAAACTTAGTGAGACCCTGTCTAAAATTTTAAAAAAAGAAGGGCTAGGGATGTAGCTCAGTGGTAGGGCACTCCTGGGTTCAGTCCCCAGTACTAATGAATACATATTTATATACATACACTCATACACAGTAAAAGGAGAAATAAATCTAAGGAAGTGATCAACATCACATGAAATGTTGATGCAAATAGCAGTATGTGATTGGGGAAAGAAAAGTCCTCAGAGGTGATCAACTGAATTAACATTTTATTCCTTAAATTGTGTGCTAGGCACAAAGTAGTTCATTCTAGTGTTCTTGAAACTTTTCTAGCTTAGTTTGATGGTGCATGCCTATAATCCCAGAAGTTTGGGAGGCTGAGGCAAGAGGATTGCAAGATTAAGGCCAGCCTCAGCAATTTAGTGAGTCCCTAAGCAACTCAGCAAGACCCTGTCTCTAAATAAAATATTAAAAAGCTGGGGTGGGATGAGGCTGTAGCTCAGTGGCAGAGCATTTGCCTAGCATATGTGAGACACTGGGTTCSATCCTCAGCACCACATAAAAATAAACAAATAAAATAAAGGCATGCTGTCCATCTACAACTACCAAAAAAAAGAGGGGTCTGGAGATGTGGCTCATGGTTAAATGCCTGGGTTCAATCCCTGGTACCAAAAAAAAAAAAAAGAATGATTATTGCAGCATTATTTGTAACCATGAAATCCTCYAAACAACCTAAAAGCCTATCATGAGGAGGATGGAAAAAAACAAATTGTGCTGTATTCACACAATTAAATCCATTAATTATTTAAAATGAATAATTAGAGCCATATATATTAATATGGATAATTTTAAAACTTAATTTGAGAAAAAAGATTACCAAATGATATCTTAACTATTATATCATTTATATACACACATATATAAAAATGTAGAAAAACATAGTTGGGAGGTATGATGATTAACTCTGGTTTTCAACTTAGCTAGATCACAGTACCCTCATATTTTTTTATATTTTTAAAATTTAGTTGTAGATAGATATAATACCTTTATTTTGTTTATTTTTTGTAGTTCTGAGGATCGAACCCAGTGTTTCACACATGCTAGGCAAGCACTCTACCACTGAGCCCATAACCCCAGCCCGTACTCACATATTTGGTTAAACATTATTATAGGATTTTCTGTGAACATATTTTTAGATGAGCTGGACATTTAAATCAGTAAACTTTAAATAAAGCATATTTCCCTCCATAAGGTGGGGGGACACCATCCAATTAGTTGAAAGCCTTTATAGGAAAAGATCTTCCGATGCAAGGAATCCTACCACAAGACTGCCTTTGGACCCCTAGTGCAACTCTTCCCTGGGTCTCTAGCATGCCAATCTACCCTGCAGATTTCAAACTTGCCAACCTCTATAGTCATAAGTCAATTCTTTAAAGAAAATCAACTTCATATTTTCTCTCTCCCTCTATTTCTCCCTCTCCTGCCGCACATACTTGCATAGTTTATGTATATGATRTCCCTCTTGTTGGTTGTTTCTCTGGAAAACCCTAACAGGGCAAAAAACAAATTCAAGATGGGTAATTAATTACTTCTACGGAAAAAGAGGAAGGGCATTGAATCTCTAACATCTGTAATATTTTATTTATTTTAAAATATCTGAAGCAAATA